ATGTCACATTATATTAAAAAAAAAAAACACAAATACGTAACTTAATGTATGCATTGTTGTTTTTTTTTATTTATGTGATATTTCTGCAATAATGAAGAAAGATAAAGAAAGAATAATATATAGAATAATATAATAATGAAAACCTTTGATCGTTGGCCACGTCCCACGCACATGCGATTAAAGCGTTGACCGTTAAATCGGCAGGTACCACATTTGCATGCACTGAGCCGTCACAATGAATCGATCGAAGCAATCCAGTTCCAGCACCGGCAGCAACTCCCGTAGGACCATACAGATTATCGATCCAACCCCGTGTAGGTTCCCGATATGTTGAGATTACTGGAATAAAATCTTAAATTATTCCTGAAGCTTGGACAATATCTTATATGTTACACTTATATTCACGCCGCGTTGTTATTATTGTTATAATTAATTATTCTTGCAATTGACTTATAATTATAAATCATTACTAATAATTATCTAGCATCATAATGTTATCTATAATCATTACTAATAATTATTTTGTCATCAATAATAATAATTTCAATATCAAGATTTCTTAAATACTCTTATTATACATATTTCGATTTATATATCATTTTGTAAAATATATTCTTTTTTAATTTTGGATATTATTATTAACAGAAATGTATAAGTTATCCATTTCCTAACCAATAGCTGGACGAAAGATGCCAGCTGGCAAGTCGGTAGCCTGTTTCCTAATCACGTTCTCGGCAACTGCTTTCGTGAAGGTGTAGGTGTTTGGCCATTTTCCTAATAAACTGTAGAAAATAGATACAATATGATTATTTCTCGTTTCTTACGCGTTAAAAGAATTCAACAAAGATTTCGGAAAAGAAATCATGGAGAAACGTACTGCGGGGTCATGTCCTCAGCCAACTTATCTTCTATGCATTCCATTAGCGCAATTAGCTTGTCAGAGTCTATTGGCGGATCGTAAAACTTCTCCTCGATCACACTTTGCGGACAATTTGCATATGCGGTCGATACATGTATGAAAGACTAGAAAAATTGCATAAAATAACAATGGCGTCGTTTAAGTTAAACACGAAGGTTGAGCAAATACGTAATATAAAAAAATCTTATGGATATATAGGCCTAGGATTTTTTTAACTAAAGTTGTGACTTTGTTCATTTTTCTCTACGTGGGAAAAAAAAAGAAAACGTGAATAATACAAGAAGTCTAGCCTAGAAAGAACGCCTATTAATATTGACTATTGATTATTTGAATTCAAAGTGAAAATAATGTTTATTCAAATCATTCGAAGAAATGGATTGATTCAACAAGTAATAAAATAAATCTTAAATATATTTTATATATTTCTGTCTTTGTAAACGTTTTGTGAACTTTTGTACTATCGTACCTTCAAGTTCGTGATGTCCTTGCAGAGATTTACTACATCTCTCGTACTTCTGACGTTAATGGGCACTGCTAACTTCAACTTCTCGTCGAATCTGACCGTGGCTGCGACGTGGAAAACGATTGAAACTTCCCGGATGAGAGTGGCACGATCTTGTGCGGATATCCCAAGATTCGGTTGACTGCAGTCTCCCGCAATGGCGACGATTTGATGCCGGAATTTGGGCTGTTCATCTCTGAGCTTTGAAAACACCTGCGCAAATTGAAATAATAATTAATTATATTAAAGTAAATTACTACCTCATTTAATATATTAATAAAACTACTAGCGAATATTTACAAAAACATTTTTTAGATAAGTGAAAGAACGCAAGTTTATTAAAAGATAATTTTCTAATAATCTAAATAATACAAATTGGAATTATTGAAAGAAATAAGCTTCTAGAAAATAAATGAAACACAGACGCCAACGTGTTTGATGTGCCATTGATGACGCACGTATCATACAGGGAAATTTAGACATACGTGATGTGAACAATGAAGATTCGTTTAATTTGTTTCTTTTAATAAGTAAAAAACAAATCAAAGAGAACATTACTCGGTGGACTAGATCTTCGAAGTCTAATAATTCATTTATTATTGAATTTATGTCTATAAATTGCCGAAAAAATTACTTTATATCGCAATTTAATTATTAGACATCAGAGGTTGGAATCGAAAATTATTAATTTACTCATCAAGTCAGAATTTTAAGAGAATTCAGGATATAAATTTTTATCCGAATAATCCGAGAACAGGATTCGCTTGTTTTTAAAAACTCACCTCGTCATCGAAGATCTCTTCGGTGCGTTGGTGCACGTCCTTGCCCTTCTTCGGGCGCACCAGCAGGTAGATCGAGGCTACTCCAGGACACGTTCTGAGGATCTTCTCGATCAAGAGTTTGCCCATAAAACCGGTTCCGCCGGTGATAAAAATGCTCTGGCCATAGTAAAATTCCTGGATCGGCGTTAACTTCTCGTTGACCGGCGAGTTTTCCGTCGGCGATTCTGGCAGGCAGTCCGACTCGACGATAGTCACCTCCTGGCCGTCGATTCGATCGAAGAGCACCTCCACCATCTCTTTCACGGATTTGTACCTGCAACGGAATGAGCAACGTCTCTCTCTCTCTCTCTCTACGTTCGACTCGATTCACTTTATATCCAATTCGTATTCGCGGTTCGGCGCGTTACGAGCCGTCGTGTCGAATTTAAAGATGACTCTTCCTTTTTTGCTAACCCGTCCGTCGGTCGTCCGATCGATTAGTCGAGCTTGCGTCGATCGCATCGCGTTTCGCCTCGCTCATTATCACCTGTACGTGGACGAGAGGAACTCGCAAATGTCAATATCGCCCGTGTCGCAGATGGAGACGTGATAGATGGATGTAGCAATTTCTTCATCGTGCAAAATCACGTATTCCGTCGGGTGCAATGGATTCGCGATGGATGCTTGCTTTTCTTTTTTAATCAAAGTCACGCCGAAAGATGAAATATTTGTCGGACGCGATATTGCGAAAGATGAATATCGTGACTCGAAGAACAAATTAAAAGGATGCATTTAATTTTCTTTCTCGAGTAAAGCTTCAAAATACCAAATATCTGTTGAACGCTACTCTTGAGTATGCAAATTATTTTTTATTTTAATAATTAATAATTATATGCAATTTTGCAGCCAAATGAATATTTCATTTCCGAGATTACAAGTTCGCAGTTGCAACATTAATTCATTTTTTGTCTTTTTTATTTGTTAAAAAAAATTTTCAGCGTCACGTAATAAAATACACGTGAGATATTTTTCTATCTATTTTATATAACATTGACATTGAAAAAAGAAAACATATAATAAATCATTTCCAAAAAATTAATGTTGTTTATATAGGATTATAGCGTATCCACACACGAAAGACTATACTTCTTTATCTATCTCAATGAAAAATTTATAGCGACGGATCAAGTATCTTCTATTCACTCCCAAAGAGTGAATATATGTAAGATAATTTCTCATTCGAGGTGAAATACGTATTCTGGAATGCGCTCGGACTTCTTTTAATCTGGCGAACGCCATCCGTTTCAAGACCAAAGTTTCTTTAAAGACATTCTCCAATAATGTCATTTATGTAAATTAATGGACATATATTTATATCACAAGGACGATTGATATGTCTGATTGATATTAGTTAATATGTTTCAGAATGTACGATTTGTTTCTAAAGTTTCAACACTTAAGAGTAAGTATTAAACGGTAATTTCTGATCATTTCATTTTTTTAATGTAACACGTTTCTTCTCGTATTAAAGATACGGATTTTCAGATTTTCTAATCGATTTCTTCATTCTCCAATAGAATGATAAAATTTACCTTTAATACCAAAAAGAAATACTGATTTAAAGAAATAGAAATAATCAGGAATACAACCACTTAGCAGTCTAGTGTTAACAAGTACATTTTCAAATAAATATCTCGGAATAATATTTCGGTGAAAAATTCTTATGCAACAGCTGCATACTTTGTTGATATACAAAAATAAACATTGCACCAGGTGTTTTCGTCCGCGAGGAGACAGCAATATCGTCGTATAATCTCTCGCGCGCGGAGATCCCAACCTGTTAGGAAGAAACGACGTCTTCCAAATATCTCGCCGAGCGAAGAAAAGCAAATATCTTCTTCCCGCTGAAGGACGGCGTTTCCTCGAAGCGAGTCCTGTCCGGTACGTAACGTTTGAACAAGACTCATGGCTTATACGACTCTTGTGTCGATACGGCGATACGCGCGGTATGTACATTCCGTCTCCTCGCCGGAAAGCGATGTTTGTCGAGTCGCTTTTTCAAGAACTCCTTCCGATACGTACATCGGAGTGCATGCAAAGTCGGTTAAGCCGTTACCGCCGGCTAATGCATGCGAAGCTGCAACCGCGTCATCCGTGATTAGCGTAAACTCCAGCGAGGATGTTTGTTACGCATGAAAAATTAACACACGACACCTGCCTGTGAAGCGAGCGCGAGGGGAATCATTTTTTATCGTGCGTGCGCGCGAACGAACAAAAGATTTCGCGCCACGCGAAGAAGCGTAGAACGAGAAATCCAATCTTTGCTTCCTTTGGAAGCGACGCTGGATGGAAAACTCAGCGCCGGCACCATTAATCTCCCGTCCGATCGTCCTGCTCCTCCCACCGTCTCCCCCCCCCCCCCGATCGTGACTTTTTGTTCTCGCGATTTATCCCGTCCGTTATTCAATCCTTGCGTGAATAATGCATAACCGAAGAGGCGCGTTTTACCGCGATCTTATTCTCTCTTCGCATCGCAGATAAGAAAAAAATCGTTTTTCGAAAGGAATAATGTGGCATTTTTTCCGGAATGTTAAGATCGTCGTATTTTCTTTCGGGGATTAAATCTTTATTTCGCCGCATGAATCACCGCTTCGAATGTCAACAAAGCGTCTTTTTTCCGGGTCTTTTCACGTTTCTCTAATTTTATGACGTCCGGTTTTTTCCCTGAATTTCAAATCAGAATATGGCATCAAAATTCGTAATAGGAAATAATATACGTGCGGTTCGAGGGATTTTAATAGAATACCTATACGCTTAGTCAAACTCGACTTTTCACATGTTTAAGTGCTATCTGAATTAAAAGCGAGAAGTCACATCATGAAGAATTATCGGCATTAGAATAACAATGTCGAGAAGAGAAACGCAACGTTTTTTACGTCTATTTTGTATCGTATTTTAAATTATTTGACTTTGTAAAAAAGCAACAATAATATAAAAGTAGCATTAAAGATGCAATATTGATGTTTGAATATCGATTAAATCGTTGATATGACATTTATTATTTCCATTTTATGACATGTTTTGATAGATTTTTTATCTCTGATTTCTTAAAATACTCATTTTTTTGTCACAAATGATTGTCATAAAATCACAATTTTATCGATTGATAGTCATAAAAACATCGATCGATGCAACATTATAGTACTAAAACAATATATTTTTCAAAACAAATTCTGATTTTATTAGACTCAAGGATTCAAGTCTAAAATAAAAGCTCTTATGTTGATTTCGACTTTAGTATAAAAATGCCAAAGTTCCAAATTTTCTGTAATAAAAAGTTAATTATTATAAAAAGTATATATTATAAAATATATCTTATAAAATAAATATTATAAAATATATATTATAAAAAGTTAATTATAAAAAGTTTCTTCTTATTCTTAAGGTTTCTTATTCTTAAGTTTCTTGTTATTCTTAAAGTCTTCTTATTCTTAAGTTAATTATAAAAAGTCTATTCTTATTCTATTGTCACATGAATAATGGAAAAAATTTTTTATATTTATATCTCTTAATCAAATCAAATTTCTAATAAAGATACTTTTTTGCTTAAGATTTATACACAATAATCAAAACATTTACATAACAGAAAAACTATAAAGAACTTGAAAGACTATAAAGAAAAACTATAAAGAATTTAATAAAATAAGAAAGCAGATATGTCTATTGAATAGACATTTGTGAGTTACGGTAATTAAATGATTACATCAAGCAATAATTACATCGGCAGTTGATTTGAATGCGATGATGCTAGCGAATGAAGTTTCTGTAATAAAAAACAGAAAATTATTCAAATGTCGTCGCTTCAAGCATGTGTTTCAAAACGATCACTTTTACTTTCTGCTTTTACTTAAGCGTTTCACTTTCATTTCGTGACAATTAACGTAACATCTATATATTCTGTCGCATCCATCCGAATTCATAAATGGCTAAATTTATCGAATACCGGTTTCGATCCTTGATCAATCCTTGAGCGCACTAATAAAGACGATGTTGATTAATGTCGAATTAATTTTAATAAACGAGATAAATTCAACAAGGAAGGAAGATGAAGGGATTGCATGCATACTAGAAATATAATTGGGTGAAAGTCGATCGTGAACTTCGGCGCTTCTATCCCACGGAATAAAAATCTTCGGCTGTATAAGTGTAATGACGAAATGAAAAGAAAGCTCAAGCGACAGGCGAACATGCGCAGAGATGTTTAGAACAGGCATGCTATAGGACCCTGGAAATTAGAAATCTTCTTTTCACTTATATTGGATAATCAAGAGATACAAACTTTTCTTGAAAAGGTCTTCTTGCTTATATCGAAGGAAAATGAAATTACCTAATTCTAGTAGTAGTAATTGCTAATTTAAATTACTTTAATTGCATTATAGTATTAAATAATTAAATTGTTTTAATTTTTTAATTTAAAGAGAAATAAGAAGAATAGCAAATCATAGAATAAGATTCAAGCGGAAGTAGAGTTGGGCGGGATTCTTTTAAGAAGATGATTTTTATTTTAATAAGTAAACTTCTCGACAAGAGAAATAATAGAAGAAAACCTCCGTAATGTTTCCGTTTATACTTGTTACGGTGCATGGAACTTTGTTAATAATTTTCACACGCAATGGATGATCTGTCCACTTTCATTTTTTTTCCCTTTACTTTCGAGTTGACGTAATAAGTAGTATAGCAATATTTTTTTTTTACAAAGGATACCGGTATTTCGTAATAATCACGTTCACGGGATATCTAAACATGCAACTGGTTATGTTACATCTGAAATGGAAGGAGCTTGGGGCGCGGACAATTTCGACGGATATACGCAGCTCCTTACTTTCTCCGGCCAGCAGCGGTCATCAGACTCCGGGAATCCAGATGAGAAAATTCAAGTTATTCTCACGTATATAAATTTGAAGTAATCTAGGCAAATCGACGCAGAGTCATATATGAAATTTTATTTCTATAAAATATTTTAGAGCTGCTGCTTTACATATAAAATTATACGTTGAATGCTAAAATTAAGAATTATATCCCACTCGTCTTTATCAAAATTTATTAAAAATTAATTTTAAATTAATTAAATTAATTTTAAAATAATTAAAAATTAATTAATTTTTAAGTAAAACGTTTTGAAAATTTTATTGAAAATTAATTGAGTTTTTGTTTTCGATTTAACTTTTATATATAAATATTTTATATATTTAATTTTATTCAGTTTAAAAGAAACTGAAATTCATTTTTAAATTGAAATTCATTTTATATATTTTAAGCAAATAGTTTCTGATA